TGATTCTATGCTATGACGGTGCGGATTTGTTAATTGTGATTTAGATTAATGTGTAATATGGTTGTGTTGATATATTGTATGCTTTTGTAAATTGTTTTTATATGTTGTACACCGCCGCGAGTCGCCCCAGGGCTGAGAGCGGCGGTCAACAAATGCAGTAAATAAATAAATAAATAAATAAAATTATAAGGAGTCACACCTACATCTCAGATGTTGACCCTGAAACCTCAGGGGCTGGGATAGTTCTGACCTGGCAACCTGGTAAAAACTATTCATAATTGTGTACACAGTGTAGTTATTGGAAGAAAGAGAAAAAAGAAGACAGATCCACCGTTCTAGCTCTACCCATATTCCCAACAGTCATGTCTCAATGTTATTCCATGGGAAATCTGTCTGGGGAGCCTACATATCTTGTATATAAGTGGGAGCATTGCTTCATGCATTCCTTTTCAGTACAGGCACAATTTATTTATTTATTTATTTAAAACATTTATATACCATTATTCTCTACCTCCATGAAACCAGGTAATTGCCAAATCTAGCAATGGGAAAGAGTGCTAACAGAGATGCTGCAAGTCATGTTTTTTTTTCTTTTTCTGAGGGTGTGTGAGTAGTACTTTTCCATTGAAAAGGCTGCAGATGGATGAGAAATGTCAATCAGTGTCTACAGCTGGAGATGGGTGGGACCAAATGCACCACCTCTTTTAGTTTCTCCCTCCCTCTCTCCAGTCTAGTTCCAGGCAATCAGTACTGTAAACACATATTAATTATTGTAGGATAGGATCTTTATGACTTGCGAGCTGCATGCCACTCGCCGGGGCTCCCCATGCATACTTCTCCATGTAACTGGTTATTTTACTGGCAAAGAAACACAGCACATTCTGCCTTAGAATACAGTCCATTGTACTAGATTTGGACATATGTATGGCTGGGGGAGGAGAAAAAACTAGTAGCAGTAACTAGTAGTGCTATCAATCTTCCACATTACCAAATATGCCCTTCAGTCCATAGCTGAGATCCTAGATCAGTTACTAAGTGTACTTTAAAAGTAGCATCTTCTACTTCTGCTCCCAATTCCACTGTACTTTGCACCAGTTACTTTTTTTTATGTCAGGAGTGGCTTAAGAAACTGGAAGTTGCTTCTGGTGTGAGAGAATTGGCCAACTGCAAAAATGTTGCCCAGGGGCGCTTTGATGTTTTACCATCCTTGGGGGAGGCTTCTCTCATGTCCCCGCATGGGCAGCTGGAGCTAATAGAGGGAGCTCATCCACACTCTCACCGGATTAAAATCGGATTAAAATTGGATTAAAACCAGATTAAAATCTACGACCTATTGGTCTTCAGTCCTGTGGGCACAAGGGTTTAACCCATATTGTGCCACTGGGGGTTCGCACCAGTTACTGAGAACAATGTAATTGAAGGAAGGCATCACCCCAACTCCCATCCAGTTTATTTAGCCCTTTTGCTTTGGGAGTGAAAATTATTTTTACATCAGAGCATTTATTGTGGTCTTAAATAACTGTAACATTACAATAATATTCTACTACCACTTAGGGCTGAGGAATGTCCATCGTGTGCCTTTGTTATACTGTGTGAACCACCGTGGGAGAAGAAGTCCCCCCTAGGGGGTTGAGAAGGGCGGGGTAGAAGCACTCCAAATAAAATAAATTATTGTCAGACTTCTGGATTCTGACAATAGTGTCACGGTTGTGAATATGTAGGAACCATGGATATGAAACAGTTACAAATGTGTAACTGGATTACACATCTGGAACTGCAATAGTGAATTCCAGCCTACTTGGCCATCTATATTTTTTTCTGCATTGTCGAAGGCTTTCATGGCCAGAATCACTGGGTTGTTGTAGTGTTTTTCGGGCTATATGGCCATGTTCTAGAGGCATTCTCTCCTGACATTTTGCCTGCATCTATGGCAAGCATCCTCAGAGGTAGTGAGGTCTTTTTTTTCTTCTCTCCCTACACCTATCACATCACAGTGTTTTTTTTTTCATGTTGTCTCCACTTGTTCCACATTTCTCTCCTTTCTCTTCTTTGCTTTGTTGCTTCACCTGGCACTTTCATTGCCCTGCTCTTTGGCTTCTGTCTCCTGCATTCTCTCTCCTTCCCTGCTTGGCATACTGTCCTTCCTGCTTACACCTTGCCCTTCATCATACTCATTTCCTGTTGTGGTAAGACGGAGTATGGTATTCATATGCCACCTCAATGTATGAATATTTCCTGAAATGTTGTTAACATCCTGTTTAGGATGTTAACAAGATTTCTGATGATTTCATGGGGCAAACATCTACCTTAGTCCCATAAAATCATCTCTACTTGTGACATACATCCATACTGGTATTTTCCAATATTTCTGCTATTGGATTTGAAATCCCTGTCTGGTGGTGCATCTACACTATAGAATTAATGCAGTTTGACACTATGTTATGGCTCAATACTGGGAATTGTAGTTTGGTGAGGCACCAGCACTCTTTGGCAGAGAAAGCTGAAGACCTTGCAAAATTATAACTTCAATGGTTCCACAGCATTGAGCTATGGCAAAGTGGTTTCAAACTTCATTAATTCTCCAATGTAGATGCATTCTTAATCACAGAAACAATGGCCACTTCTGCTTTGTAAAGAGGGGTTGCTTTGGAAGGAAATTACAAGACACACAAACACAGCAGTCTAACAAAATCCCTTTCCTGACGCCTTCTTATGTGCTGTTGGTAACAAAAATTACCTGCCTTGCTTGACTGATAAAGATTAGGTGACTTCTTGCATTAAAGAAGTTTGTCTTATACGGGATGAAGTGACAAGACAATAACTAAGTGCTAATTGTGCATAACCAATGCTAAAGATATGCAGCCCCATTACGGCATACAATAAATGAAGCGAACAACAAGAACGTATTAGGCACTTTTAATAATGACACTAGAAAAGTGGTTTGGAGCAATGAGGATAGAAAAAGCTTTCGAGTTTCAATTCAAAAGAGTGTTAAACTATTTCTTACTTGAATGGATTCCACTGGAAGGGTGCGACTGACCTTATTTTGAATGCAGGCTCTTTAGTTCTGCACCAAAACAGGACTGATGTATAGCGACTGTAAATGGTCCTGTAACTTCTAATTGCTTAGCATTATTACATAGTTTAAACAGTGGTTATTACTTGTCTGATATTTTAATTTTCTGCACAACGTGATGAAAAAGGTCAATTTGGCTTTGTTTTAGAATGTAATTGCAGAAAGCTATAATTATGGCAGCTGCACAATTCGCATTGCATGAGGAACACTTGACTATGAAAAAACTTACTATCTTGTTGCTGAACAAAGTAGAACAGCAGGGGCTGCTTCTATTATTTTACTGACTCCCTTTGGAGAAGAACAAATATATATCTTTTTAGTTGTAGAATCATAGCGTTGGAAGAGACCTTGTGGGCCATCCAGTCCAACCCCCTGCCAAGAAGCAGGAAAATCACATTCAAAGCACCCCTGACAGAGGGCCATCCAGCCTCTGGTTAAAAGCCTCCAAAGAAGGAACCTCCACCACACTCAGAGGCAGAGAGTTCCACTGCTGAACAGCTCTCAGTTGTTCATATTTTCACCCATAATTTAGTTCTCTCTTCAAGTTTAACTGATTATTCTCAGCCTGCATTTGAAACATTTGTTTTTTCTTAAAATAATACCTAAATGCATTATCTAGAGAAATGTAAAATCTGAGGGCTAACTGTTCTGTTGAACCTATAAAGCAGGCAAAGAACTGAGGATTTATTGATTTTGCAAAGATGGTGTTCTTCAAACATCCCTACTCTCACTAATTATCAAATATACTTGTGTTTAAGTCTCCTGTAAAAGTTGAGAGCAGATTTGGGGGCTAAAATTATGGATTTTGATATGACCCATAGATAAACTGTCATTCCATGGAGAGGGGAAGGCAAAAATGCCAGTTACCGCTCTCCACTGCTACAATTTCCCCAAAAAGCCAAAAATGGCACGAAATTGGAGAGAGCAGTGGGAGTCGGTGCCATTTTTAGGTTCTCCCAGGACAGACCAAGCTCTCACCTGGAGAAATTCTATTCACAGAAGGATAGGATTCCCTTTTTGATAAATGGAAAGGTGCAGCACTTATCTTGACCCATGGATAAGCTGATCCATTTTTTTGGGGGGGGGGGTCCATTTTTGACAAAGTTTTCTAGATGTATACATGAGTATATAGAGTAACTGAATTATGGGATCAATTCACAAGACTTCTAAAGTCTAGAGCTATATGTTTTGTACAGAAAATAGCATTTTTGACATGCAATAAGTGGAGCAGATGAACATGGAAATTGATAGTGCTGCAAGCGGAAATGGATTTCAGTCCAAAGCTATTCTTACTAGAAGCCAAAATGATTACATTGACCAAATCAGGAAACTACATGGCTTACTGAAAAGGATGACAATATTCAGTAAAACAGAAAGCAAAATGGGGGAAAAGAAAGATGCATTGCAAGGGGATTGGCTCATTCAAGGGAGTATGACTCATGTTTCCAAGACCTAAGCAGGGCTAGTGGTGCCTGGAACTCATGGGGTCTTTCATTCATAGGATTGTCCTAAGATGAAGCTGATTTAATAGTACAACAGAGAGAGAGAGAGCAAAGAAAGTGATCACACATCATTACATGCTTTCATAAGGCTCAAGCAAATGAGACTGTTGCTAACCAATGTTTGTTGGGTTTGCTCCTTGAATGAGGAGCAAAAAGTATTTTGTCATCATGTGAGAAGAGAAAAAGGGAGCAAACAGCTCATGGTTCACATTTATTACATTAAATCACACAGCGTAACATTTTGTGATGATCACAACGGCACATGAGACATTGGCCCTAAATGGCCTAAACCATTTAGGGCTATTATCAGTCCAAGCTGGTTGTACCTGGAGGATGAGCAAGAAATTGTGCCCACTGCCCTCTAATCCAGGTCGATGCCAAATTGGTTTTGCACATGGAAGGGGTCCAAGAAACCCTCTTACCTCTGATTACAAAGTTGACACGCAAAGCAGTCCAGGTGGTAAACATTGTCCTTGGCTCTCATCACCATCTCGAAAGCAGGGATGAGTTTGCTGCAAGCAGCACAGTTTCCTGTAACACCAAATAACCTAAAAGGGGGGAGGGGAGACATACGCACACAAAGAAGAGGGGAAAGAGAAGTTTGGTTGGGATTAATGTGCATATTAATTGAAGATACAGATATTTTTACATAAACAGAGTATTCAGTAGTCACTCTTACATTATATCCTTTCAAGATATATAGAACTAGCCGTGAGTCTACTTCAAAAACCCAAAGTGTAACATTCTGCCTGCTGTCTTCTGTGTCCCTCACACCAGCATCTTCCAAATTGTTGCTATTGCTGAGTGGGGTTGGGAAAGGAGGAAAGCGAGGAAATTAAGGCAATGAACAGCTTATCTTAGCTTGGAGAAGGAATTATTAGACACAATATTCCAGGTATGGTCTAATCAAGGCAGAATAGAGGGGAAGGAATGCTACCCCTCTATTCCACCTTGGTTAGACCACACCTGGAATATTGTGTCCAATTCTGGGCACCACAATTGAAGAGAGATATTGACAAGCTGGAATGTGTCCAGAGGAGGGCGACTAAAATGATCAAGGGTCTGGAGAACAAGCCCTATGAGGAGTGGCTTAAATAGTTGGGCATGTTTAGCCTGTAGAAGAGAAGGCTGAGAGGAGACATGATAGCCATGTATAAATATGTGAAAGAGGAAGTCATAAGGGAGGAGGGAGCAAGCTTGTTTTTGCTGCTCCCTGGAGACTAGGATGCGAACAATTGGCTTCAAACTACAAGAAAGGAGATTCCATCTGAACATGAGGAAGAACTTCCTGACTGTGAGAGCTGTTCAGCAATGGAACTCTCTGCCCCGGAGTGTGGTGGAGGCTCCTTCTTTGGAGGTTTTTAAACAGAGGCTAGATGGCCATCTGTCAGGGGTGCTTCGAATGCAATATTCCTGCTTCTTGTTAGGGCGTTGGACTGGATGGCCCAACTCTATGATTCTATGATTCTATGATTTTAGGAGCAGAAGCAAGCCCAAAACTTTCCTGGCTTTGCCACAGAAACACAAACTGCCAGGAAAAGCTAAGGAAGGCAAAAAGGAATTGGTTGTGGCCTCACATAGAACCCATCAGAAAAGGAAAGGAGGTAGGAAAGAAGAAAGAATGAGGGAGAACAACAGAGAGAGGGATGGAGGACCATCCAGCTCAGCTTAGATCTCTTCTTCTCTGCTATAGGCAAGTCCACATTCACAGAACTCAAAAATTTGTATACATTTTGAGAAAAAAGGACAGAATGAGTTGTCCATTACGGTACGACCTCTTTATCCATGGATTTGATTTCAATGGTTCCACTTATCTGCGCCCCTTTAATAAAATCCCACCCAAAGCATTTGTAGACATCTTTGGGTCCTTCAGTGTGATTCTTTGCTAATCTTCCGATCCAACTATAGTCAAAATATAGGGTTTGATATTATCCATGGTGTCAGTTATCAATGGAAGGGGTGTCTTGGACCATATCCTCCATTGATATGGGGCCAAACTGTACTGTGAATGATGCTATGTGTAGAACGGATTATTCACTTTGGATGTGGGGAGAAACATGAAGAAAAACCTCGATTTATGTTAGTCTGTTGCTCAAAAATGGCACGGATTCAAGGGTAGCTCTGTCTGTGAGAATATGATGAAAATGGCTCCTTGGATTTTACTGTAAATATGGGCACCTGATGTAAAACCTTGGCCTCGGTGTTATTTATTTATAACACACATGCTTTAGTGTAAGAGGAAATAATACTTTGGTTCTGGTGAGGAGAAGCAACTATTCTAGTCATTTTTGACACCTAGTGCTAAAAGCTTTACCATTATTAAAGAACATTTTATGAAAAAGTCATTTAAAGCGTCAGAAAGCATTAGTGGTTCATGCACCTTACCACCCTGCACCATGGTTATAGCTATGATTATGTTATTCAAGTAGCCTATTAAAGTAAATGAGGCAGTCAACTATATATAGCCACATTAGGAGTACATTATACTGCAGGAACAATTTCAAATCTTTTCTAAAATGTTTTTAACTTTGGTGTTAACATTTTTTTCGTTGCAGAACAGGTGTGCAGAACTCTGAACACACACACACACCAGCCGTACACTTGTTTAAGGCATTTCCCCCATTAACTGGTATGTTACACATAATAAAATAACCCAACAAACATCTAGAGAAATAATTCTAAGATGGCAGGATTATAAACTTTGGGTGTGTTTTTTTAAACTGCACACACCACCAATCTTTGAAACCAACTTTAATGTAAGCTTCTTAATACATGCAAATGGGTTTTTTGGCAAAAAAAATAAAGCAATGCTCTTTTCTGTGTATAGCAGTTAATGCCATTTTCAAGTATGATAGAAAATAGATGAAAATGCCACATCTGCTGCTTTCCTCTTTGCTCTTCAACATCAGGCTGACAGCAGAAAAATATAATGGCTCTCAAGGGAAGCACTAAATTAAAAGCAGTTCTAAGCTAATGAATTCAAAGGTACTACAGTAGAAAACTTGGTTTGGCAACACATACAAATGAATGCAAACCTTCCCATTCTGTAGACCTGAACCAGCTACACCAAAGTTGTGTTCGGATATCAACTCAATATGCACATTTTCATAATACATGTGGCATGCTTATTTTTTTTAAAGTTTTGAACCACTTTTTACTGATTGTGTGATGTGCTGATTTTTTAAAAAGTTCAGAGACAAACCAAAAAACTCAGTCTTAATCATCAGCATTTCTATATTCATCCTCTCCTTTTAGATTTATTATTCAAGCTCATGTCAACTTCATTTTCTCTAATTGTGAAGACTGATGATTAAAATTATACATACACTCACACAGAGAGACTCAAATGGAGAATTCTTTCTTTTCCCATATTTTTGTCCCTAATGTTCTCAGACATGGGGTACATCCATATTGTAAAATTAATGCAGTTTGACACCACTTTAACTGTTGTGGCTTGGTCATAGAAGTTGTAGCTTTACAAGATCCTTCTCTGATAAATAGAGCTGGAATCTCACCAAACTACAAATCTTAGGATTCCATAGATCTAAGACATCTCAATTAAAGTGGTGTTGAATTGCCTTAATTCCAAAGTGTAGATTCACCCATGGTCTTCCACCAGGTAAGAAGCAAAGTGCTGAAACAGGGCTCTTTAGGACTCAATCCTATTAAAGACAAGTTGAGACTATTGCTCATAAAGAAACTAAAAATACGCTAGAAAATGTATGACTTGCATCCAACACTGGATATTTCAATTCATCCTTACATGCATCTTGGATTCTTCTTTGCTTAAATGCCAGTTGTCTTACACTACAGAAATTGATCTTCATTTCAATAATTCCCAAACTTTGGTTCTCCAGCTGCTTTGGACTTCAACTCGCACATGCTACAGCTAGCTTTGCCAACAATTAGGAATTCGAGGAGCTGAAGTCAAAAACAACACTGCTCTGTTTGAAGGACTGTCCAATCAAAATCCCCTTGAAAGAGCACTAAGGAAGGCCAAGAGTGGCCCATTCACAGCCTTGAGCAGGCACACAGGCCATCTAGTCCGATTTTTCCACTATGGATGACATCACTGAATTAAAAAAGAATAGTTGCAACATTTTGAGAGCCATCCTGTTCAATTTTAAGACGTTGTTAACTAGACTTACAACCATTGTTGCCAATGGGTTTTGGTGAGATAAGCAGATGTGATAGCTTCATGGCTATTAATATGAATCTTGAAGAGCTGGATTGGGAGATGATGGACCACAGCTATATCACCATAGCTGTATTTGTCATGTAGGACGTTGGCCTCCACCTATAGATCTTAACTAGCACAGCTAGATGCCTGATAACAGATGAGAATATATTATTTTGCCCAACCACCTTTTTTGATGATGAACTACTTCTTGTTTGATGTCTAAGTGGTTGCCCTCCAAGTGTTTGGGGATTTCAACCCCCCAAAGTCCCAGCCAGCTTGGCCAATATCAGGAATTTTGGGAGCTGGTCCAAAACTCCAGGGGGACCAAAGGTTGGAAACCACTGAGGTAGAAGAAGTAAACTCTAGATATCTCGTTATTGTTATATTATGTTCTAAGAAGTATAATGAAACATGGGTTGAGTAATCACTAATAACAACCTCATCAGGCAGGGCTGTTTTTGGAGGCATATGCCTGTTCCATTGTAGTTTAGCCATGTAGCTTGCCAGCTCCCATCCTATGACGTATAGCTACTTCTGGTGTGGCTCCATGGCTTAACTATAGCGAAACTGGTATAAGCTGCAGCAGCGGCAACACGGGAGGCTTCCCATGTTGCACCAGCAAAAATGGGGGCAAGCCGAGTGGTGGACACATGGGATGGGTGTTGGGTAAGTCGGTCAATACAGGGTGTGGGGTGATGGGTTCCTCACACCAGGCACTGCCAGATTTGCTATGATCCGTGGTGATTCTGGCAGCCAGTATGATAAGGTCCTATAAAGCAAGAAGAAATACAGGGTGGCTATCAGCAGCATGGCCAGAACTGCCATCACCACCAGTTCCCAATCTAGAATATGGATTATTAGCTGATCATAAGAAATCTTAGGCTCCTTCTACACTGCCATATAAAATCCAGATTATCTGTTTAGAACTGGATTATATGGCAGTGTAGACTCATATAATCCAGTTCAAAACAGATAATGTGGACTTTCTGATTTAATAATCTGAATTATATGGAAGTATAGAAGGAGCCTTAGTTGATGTAGTCTGATTCTGGAAGGAAGTCCAATTGCTTTCAATGAGGCTTTGTCTCAAGTACGTTTGCATGGCTACGTTCTTAAGAGCCTACTAATAAATGTTCAGAGTGATGTAGCTGGGCAGCTGAATTGATTTTCCTTGCTACACTGGGATCGCTTAGATCTCTTCTGCACTGCCATATAAAATCCAGATTATCTCCTTTGAACTGGATTACAGACTCATAATATGGATTATATGGCAGCACAGAAGGGGCCTTAGAGGTAACTGGCCTGCTCTTCTCTCCCCTCTGCCCAAACCAAATGAGTGGGATGAGTGGGATGAGTGAAATTATAGGT